TCTTTTTCTTCTTTTTCTTCTTCTTCTTCTTCTTCTTCTTCTTCTTCTTCTTCTTCTTCTTCTTCTTCTTCTTCTTCCTCTTCTTCTTCTTCTTCTTCTTCTTCTTCTTCTTCTTCTTCTTCTTCTTCTTCTTCTTCTTCTTCTTCTTCTTCTTCTTCTTCTTCTTCTGTCTGGATGTCTGTTCGTGAGCTTTTACTTTGATCTGCACCCCTGTGTCCGATATACCACGTACCCAAGTCATGCAGGCAAGCCATTCAGTGCACAACTTTATTAATGTCCATGAATGAGTTTCATGTTACGCCTGACAGCAAAACCAATGCCAGACAAGCGCGCCGGCTAAATCAAGTGTGTATGTTTGCCACTTTCCCAAGAAAGGAGTTTTTTTGTCTGTCTCCATGTGCCTTTTTATGTGAGCGATTCTGCAGCTTCCCGAACTTCATAAAACCGATGAAGCCCAAGAAAACTTATCGATGCAAGCGCAGCTAGGGGTAAATCGGTGCAGAATGTATAGACATCATTTAACATTACCGAACCTGTTCTATCGGCCACCTGTCCAAGACAACCACCTGTACAAACGGTCATTTCCCACTCCCTTTTGCATTTTTAATTTTATGATGTCACTGTCCAAGACGTCCACTTTTTTTTTGGAAAACCACTTTTCTCCACGACAATGGGTGATTGTCTTGGACACATTGATTGTATCATGCTTTAACCCTATCCGTATGCCCTGGGATCATTTATTGTACCCCTTGGGTTGTATTCTTCACATTTTAGAATACTTCTAGTGCAAAGATCTCTTTGAAACTTTCAGTATTTAAAAAAAAAATCATTTTGACAGACTGCTATGCAGAGCGTACGAATTAACGAGTATATTTCCTCTTTGGAAAGTGGTGATAGAGAGTTCCCCACGTCGTATGGATACGATAGTAAAACACGGCGTACGGATAGGGTTAAAGTACATTGTACTTGTTTGCTTTCGAGTTTTACTCTTTTTCTAATTTAATAAACACTTCTCAGAGCTAAACTTTCCTCTCTCTGAGATTAATTGTGGAGATAGATGTGGAAAAAATAGATATTATTATGCTATCATTGTAATCTCTCACAGAAAACAAATCCAAAATAATTTTGCAAGGATTTGAAATCAGGTCTCTCATGCCCTTTCTCAAGTATCTTGTCAATTAAAATAACAATGTGTCCAACTTGCAATATTGCTTTGAATTCTCCTCTTTGCTTTCTCAGAATAGCATCGGTACATTCAACAATGAAAAACAAAGACGAGAAAAAAAATTAGCGAAAGTTAGAGCATATTAATTTCTAGTGGTCGTCTGAGTTGCGACAGTGGATGTGTGACTTTAACCCTTGTCTCAATGGGTGCCGAACACGAATCTCGCTGACATGGTTACGGAACACTAGTTTTTGCTTCGTTTTTTTAAGTAATGAGAAGCACATCGACACAATAACGGTAGAAAACAGCAAGACTGCTAAACAGAATCAACAGAAGGAGAGTATAAAAATATGACTTGACGAGTGGCGTTTTCCAAGTCACAATAGTAAGATTTTCGCCGGGTTTGATTTAAAAAACCCAGCTGAATAAACTAAAGCTATAGCGATTTAAAAATCACTAATTAGGAACGGAGTATGTCTTAAAACGTTCAATTTGTATAGTTATTTTACTTTCTAGACCGGAAAAAAAGCCAGCTCTTGACAGGACGAAAGTAAGCAAACAGTGTCGCTGCGTTAAAAACGAAGAGGACAAATCAAAAAAACCCCACAAAACAAAACAAACAAAAATAAACTGATAACAATAAATAACAAAACACAATAATATAAGAACCAATTATAAATAAATAACAGTACAAACAAACAAGCAACCAAGCAAAAAACAAAACAAAACAAAAACCCTGCCATTTTCTTCACACCGACATGAGTTCATTTTAGTTTGAATTATTCTGGATGAGTTACCTCTATAAGATGTGTGAATAAGTTCAAGTCCTCTTTCTGCACACAATTCAAGGTTGCATGTAAGAAAAATACAAAACCACTCTACAACACAAGACGAGTCTGTGTTGATACGTAATCCAGACACATGTGAATATTATCCAAGAACAGAAGCGGAACTCGGAGCCATCTCGGTTCCGAGACGGGCCCACCTTTAATCTACGATTGGATTCCTTTGCTTCTTGTATCGCCAGGATGTGATGATAAAAACAACAACCCCAAAACAAAACAAAAACCGAAACAAAACCAAAGCCAAAAAGAAACAAGAAAAAATAATAAATTGGTAGGTACACATAGAAAGGAAGGGCCAAAGGTCATAATAAGGATGTTGAATTATTTAGAATTGTTTTTTAAAAATCGTGTTCTTTTTCCTCAAAAGTGCGTTTTCGTGAAATCATGCATTAATTATTTTTGTCTTTATTTTTCACTTAAAAGAGAAACTGCTTTTGTTATTGTCTTCTCATTTAATTAATGTGGTTTCGACAAAAAAAAATTGCTTATCTAAATGGTAAAGAAATAGTTCTTTAGAGAAGGAGTTGACTTCTGGCCCTCTTTTGTTCTAATGCACACTCATTACTTATCAAGTAGCACCTGCAATGGCGTGTATATCCTGCTCGTGTGTGGGATTCAGGGACATCTGGCGCATCATGATGCCTCGGCGCAAGGAGACTCTCTCCTTCCGGGGAGGAGGTGGGGGCTCCACGGGGCCGCCACGCCGCGATGTGAGATGTTGACCGCTGGATGGCGTGCTGATCCAGTCCGCTCCCTGCTGATGCTGCTGCTGCTGTTGCTGTTGCTGTTGCTGATGATGCTGCTGCTGTTCCGACCCCTCTTTGGTGCTGGTGGGTACGTTGCTGACGGTCGCGGTTCCAGTTCCAGTGTTGGTGCCGGAGTCGAATTGTGCGATGAGACAGATGGTGCTACATTCAGTCTCGTCCGTCCCACGGTAGCATTGGTCGATAGTGACGAAGTCGGGGAGCCGGCGATCTGAGTTGAACGCCGGGTGACTAGAGCAGGGAGTGTTGTTGTGAATGTATTGTTGTTGTTGTTGTTGCTGGTGGTGGTATTGGTGCGGATGATTATGATGGTGATGAGAGTGATGTTGATACTGTTGTTGTGATGGTTGTTGCTGTTGTAAAAAGTGATATGCATAAGTTTGATGTTGTTGTTGCTGTTGCTGTTGTTGTTGGTAGACGTGATGATAATACTGAGGATGTTGAGGCTGGTGGTCTTGATAGTATTGGTGGTGGTTGTAGTTGTAGTTGTAGTTGTTGTAGTTATTTCCCTCGAAGTTGTATCCTTCTCGTGGTTTTGAACTAAAATCCCCGACACACCCTACGCTTGCGCGGTGCGAGTACCTTGTACTATTCTGCGTGCGGTCAGAGTCCACAAACCCGGCGTAACCTCCATGAAAATCCCTTGGGTTGAAATTCTCATCGGTTCTGTGAGGGTAGGAATAACTATGACGGTGGTGATAATGATAGTTTGAAGGATGAAATTTCGGCGTGTCACTAAATCCGTCCTCAGAATCTTCTTGGTCCGTGTCGCGTGCTAAACCAACCGCAGATACAGCATGGCTGTTGTTTTTGTTGCATCCATTACGATTCTCTTCGCACTGCTGACCACCGCCGCTGTAACTGCCTCTATGACAACCTCCATCGCGGCCGCTGTCAGCAGGCACTGTGCTGGAATCACCGCCTCCCCCGCTCACCGCGTCCGGGCTAAGCACAGAATTGCTGATATCTTGCAGACGATGAATACTGTTAGCGCGGGAAGCGTCGCGCGAAGGTACAGTGCCAGGCCTAACAGCCGAGCCGCCCCCTCTCCTCTCTTCCACGAACGAGTCGCCATTTGGGGCGGATTCGGACACGATCGGGGAATTGCTGTTTGTGCAGCTACCGTTTACGCCCGCGCCGCTGTCGCCGCTCCAACCACGCTCATCAGTTAGTAAAGTTACAACTCCTGCAGCTGTCGATGATGGTGATGTCTGGGGTAATGGGGGTGGTTGTGTTATAACTCGTGTCGGAGTGAGAGGGGAAGGGGAGGAGAAAAACGTATCTGTGAGAGAAGCAGAGTTCGAATTTCTAGAAGTCCCGCTCGAAGTGATGATAGAACTTTGTGGGATAGATGACACTGATTGAGATCCCGTAGACGAAGAGTTTACGAACGAGGAGGATGTGGCGAGAAACCAGTCAGACAAACTGTCATCAACTGAGGGAGAATCCGCAAATTTTAGAGTACTCAGTTCGATGTTTTGACTGAGCGGAGATTGGGCCGAAGCGCCGGGCTCTGTCGCAAACGTTGTGATGGGAGAAAAACTCATGGCTGCTGAAGTTTTCTTGCCAAAAGTTGATGAACATGAGGTGCTACAGAGGACAGACGTTGACGGGCAGAAAACGGAACTACAAGCACTGGTCGGGACACACGCCGTGTACGCAGACGCATGACTTGAGGGCCCTAAGGGGCGGAAGTGACCGTCACCGCCACAAGCAGCACCGCTCCGTCCTGGTGCCCCTGGGATTTCTGTTGTAGCGATCGGCTCTGAGAACGCCACTCGCAGCTCTTTGCCAGGGCTCTTCTTCAAACACCCGTGGAGGTCAGGACCTTTGGCGTTTTTGTCCGGAGATTTGGCCTGCAAACTTGCTTTCCTTTTTCCAAATCCCTCATGAGAACCGTTAACGGGGTCTAGCCTGTCTCTTGAGAGTTCAGCTCCAGGCGGATGAGGGGCTGGAGTACTCTTGAGACTCTTCACTGAATCAGGACCTTTTAAGGCTGATGGCAGAAATTTCCTATCGTCTGATGACTTCCTTCTTCTGCTTTCTCCTACAAATGGAAACCCTCTTCCTCCTAACTGGTGAGAAATATGCTTCGAAGGACGAGGACTTGCTGAAATTATTCGTATAGCGGGAGGTGGAGGTGGTGGTGGAGGCACATAGGGTTGGTGACTGTTTCTGCGATTGGTTAGGGCCCGATCATGCTTTGAGTCTTGTTTGTGCACGTTTTCAAGCACATCAGCAAAGACAACTCTTGACTGTTTGGCCGGGGGTCTATTAGGCTCAACACTAGAGTCGGTTTTGCCAAGGCTTTCTCGTTTGAGTCCCAGATGAATTCCCGACTCACAAAAATCTTCTTCCCAATCTGGTGACAGCAACGATATCTCATCTGTGGACAGATAAAAAAGATATAAGAAAACTTCGCTCTTTTGTGTAAATGTTCTGTTTTGTTGTTGTAGACACAGCGAATGAAAACGTAATAAAATACATAATAATACGGTAATAATATTATACACGATATACACAAGGTAATAAACATAATAAACATGTAACAGCCACAGCTATTTTCTATGGCGTTTAAATACATCTCTTTGTTTATGAAAACAATTGAAAACAAAAAAACGCCCAAAGAAGTCGCATTCAATCAGCTAATCCCAGAGCACAGAGAAAATCGGTATGAAACTCTTTTCGATTAAAAAAAAGTTGCAAAAATAAAGGCATAATATTTGACTCAGATAACAGACAAGAACAGAATAAGGACCACTGCTGTTTTTGAACATCATTTTGTTTAGCTTTAGTTTTAGTAAGAGTTTTACTGCACTTGCAGCTCAATAAGGTCATATACGCGCCGAAGAATAGATGTTTTACTAGAGAATAACATACACAAAAAATGAGGAGAGACAGGGACGATAGATGTTAGACAGGAAAGAAGGAGCAAACCACACCACAGCACCCGCCAACCGTCCACACATCCTTTTGTGCGTTGACATCTATTTCTTTTGAGGAAAGACAAAGGCAATTCAAATACCATCCACTTTAAAACAAAAGTCTGAATGAAATGATATTACCTCAAAACCTGTTCCTGCTAACATTTAACTACGACACTTTGACACTGACTGACTGGACCAATACAATAGGACATCAGACACGATTAGAGAGAGGCCTCCAATTCCACAAATTAATGTAAAAGGTCAGACATGACACCAATCGAGTTGTGACGGGAAAACAATTGCTTAACGGCGTCATCAAAGATAGAACAGGAGAAAATGGTGGGAGCCTTAGACGACAAAGTATCTACGCTTAATACAAATATAAAGATTGGGCGATAATGAGCAAGAGGTAAATTGACGGTAGGACGAGAGAAGCAATATATGTGAGATGATATTTGCGACTTATCTAGAAAATGATAGTCTAGAATTATGTGTTCAGACCAGTAAGCAATTCGGGGGAATGTTTTAGTTTCAGTAGGAGTTTTACGGCACTTGTAACACAATAAGGTCATATAAGTGCCGAAGATTAGACGTGGTACAAGCGAGTAACAAACACAAAAAGGAGAAGGAGAGATAAGAACGATAGATGGTTGATAAGAAAGAAGGAGCAAACCATTTCAGAGCACCTTCCAACCACCAACAGTCCATGGGAATGAGGTGAACAGCGCACGTTTTTCTTTTCCATTAAAATGTTCTCTTCTCTGCCCAAACAAATATTCCGTTTCGAACTCCCCCCCACGAACACACCTTATTTTCCTTTACCGTGCACCCTGAATGACACGGCAAGACAACAATACCAACGTATATTGGCATGCACTGGAATATCAGGCGTTTGCACGGTAATAATACTAAGACTGCTGGGATGCCTTTTTCGTTTTATGAATACGACAGTGCGAGAGAACTTTCTTTATGTAGAACTAAAACGTGTACGGAGAACAGGTAAAAGCAAACTTTAGGCCTACAGTTGAAATTTACTTAACCTACTATTGCGCACAACAGAGGTTTCCATTCTCTTTGGGGGTCACATGTGTGTTGGCGTGACGTCAAGAACGAAACACACTTTCCGTTATTTCAAACATAGGGAAGGAATGCTGAAATTGACAGTTAGATGCCTTTGAAATTAGGTATTAATGGGAAATGAGCAAGATCAGGTGGACAGACGAGAAAACTTACGAAGAAGTCTGCCTATTAATATCAAGACCATCATCAGGGCTTCTAAACAAAATTAAAATTAGAACACTGCAATATTGTGAACAACTAGAGACACGCACACACTAAACTTCAGAAACAAATTAGAAGGGATGATGGGTAGTTTAAAGTTAGAACATTGAGTCATGAACAGCACAATCGTTTTAGGTTTAGTTTTAACAAGAGTAATACGGCATTTGCAACGCAATAAAGTCCTATACATGTACGTCCCGAAGATTAGGGGCGTTACCAGAGAGAAACAAACACACACAAAAAAACTATGGACGAATGCTCAGGACCATAGATGTTTTATTTTATGTAAGACCACTAAACATTTTTGTTCGATTCTAAAGAGAATTTGAGAAGCAAAGGCGACAAAGAGAGGGACAGCATCATAAGATATCAACGTAAAAATTTAGGTATGGCACAGAGGGTTGATAATGTCTACAACAGGCATCGATGTGAAACCTAGGGACAATACGGAAAGTTAACCAAATCTGATTAAGAAATCAACATACAAACATTTTTGTTCGATTCTAAAGGGAATTTAAGAAGCACAGACGACGAAAACAGGGGCATCATCAACATATATCAATGTAGAAACGTAGGTATAGTACAGAGGGTTGATCCCAGCTGAAACAAAGATCAGTGTAAAACCTTGGTACGGTACTGCCAATGGAAGAACGAGGTCATGACAATATGAACAGGAAATAGGAGAAAAGGAAGACAACACCTGCAGAAACGATCAATGACGCAGCAAATGGAGACCATCTCTTTCTCACCTCACGTAAAATGTACATATTTAGGTAGTTTCGGGCTCGATTTGGCATATCCTAAATCGGGGTCTGACGTTTTCAATGAAAACCAAACTTAGACCAGGACGTCACAAACAATACCACCGGTGTTGACGGAAAAATTCCTACTTCTATCTATCTATCTATCTATCTATCTATCTATCTATCTATCTATCTATCTATCTATTCAGGCTTCATACTTGAGTCATCTTCGTATCTTAACAATTAAAATAATGCTCCCAAATCAAGTAAAAGAAATGTCCAAATGGCTCTCAAGGCCGAGAGGTTAAGGTGTTCGCCTCTCCTTCAAAGGTCCCGGGTTCGAATCCGGGTAGCGACAGAAATATTTCCTTCTCTAAAATGGTCGCCTTTCACTTTCTTTCCTGCTCTCTTGCAATGTTCTATCGTCTGCTTTCCACTCCACTTTCAGCCCCTACCCCCTCACCTCCTTTCCCCTCCTCCTCTGAGCTCCTGACTCTTTCTGCAGCATTTCTACTGCTACTCCCTGGCTCCTTCTTACTGCTGTCTTTCAACCACACCCCTGAACTTCTGGTAGGAACGATCTACACCTAGCCTTCTCGGACAAGGGCTAAAAATCTCGGAGATTCCCTAAGCAAGTTGCGCACGTTAAAGATCCCGTGGTGGTCTAAAATCGATAAGAGTAGGCTTCGGCCGCAAACTGGGGCAAAATTCAAAATTCTCTACCAATTGAAAAATGTTTAATGTGTCCCGCGCGTTCATATGACCTTATGCAGTTGAGAGCGCCGTAAAACACTTGCCAAGAAAAATAGAAATGTCCGAAAAAAAAGCATAAGCGAACGTATCCACACCGACAGTCTATCTTATTGGATCCCAACGAAGCTCTTATTTCTATTTCTCTACTTCACCGTAAAACCCACACTACATTTCCTACTTTCAAAACTAAGTAACGACATCCACTACTTCACCTGAGTAAAATGCAAATACCCTCCCTCTAGGTACCCAATACGACTACCGACAGATAAATTGCTGGCCAGGGTTTGAGGAAACAGCATGCCAATAGGCCAGTCTTTGCTGAGTTGCCACTTTGGCTCCACAGTAATCAGATCAGTGGCGAGCTGAACACGCAGTTATCGAATAAACGCTGTGTTCCAATAGTCGTGGACGACAAAGCTGTAGCTCTCAAATTACTGTGGTCAGGGCTGCAGACTGTCAAGAGAAGAAAGGAAGGAAACTTGTACGTTTTACTGTTGCTAAAAATGAGTATCGATTGAGAGCTCCCCAGGAAAGACGTGATTCAGATAATTCTAAAATTTGATCCTTGTTCTCTTGAAGTTCGCTGGTCAAAATCGCGCAAATGGACACATAACGATTTTGTCGACAACACAACATTGGGGCGTTATTTTTGGTTTGTTGAGAATAAAATGTATGGGTTGTCAGACTGGGAGATTTGCAATAATACTCTTTTAACTTACAGTACAGGAGAGATCATTAGGAAAGACAGACAGACAGACGGACAGGCAGACAGGCAGACAGGCAGACAGACAGATAGACAGACAGACCATTTTCATTATATAGTACTTCTAGCAAGTGTTTACACAAACTGCAGGGGAAAATAATTCTGAGTAAGAAAATCATAATCAATAATGTACAGATATACAGATAGATAGATAGATAGATAGATAGATAGATAGATAGATAGATAGATAGATAGATAAATAGATAGATAGATAGATAGATAGATAGATAGATAGATAGATACAGTACTTAGTGGGCGTTTTCACGAAAGTTCTTACAGATCTCCCCAACACCTTTTCAGAAGTACCATTTCCATGTCTCAGAGACTGGACGATTTAAAGGGAAACTAGACACCTAACACCACATGATGGCGACACAAATAGAGGGCCCCATGGGCAATAAGGAGAAGGGTAATCGGGTTTTCCTGAGCTCTGTTCCAAATTTCTACTCCCTGTGGATGGTGCGTACGTCTGTTCCGAGCCACTCATAATGAGTTTCTCAGAGGGCCCCCATAGAGTGGGTTGGTATCCCGTTTTGTCTGCATTACCGAGGGGTCCACGTTTAGAAACATGATAATATAATGTTATTATTTGTTTGAAAAATATAATGGTAGATCGATATGTCTCTCTATCTGTCTGTCTATCTCTTTATGCTATCTATTTGAAAAATACAGTGGCATAATATTCTACTGGCTGTGTATGCCAATATCTTTTTGAAAAATACCCTGAAGGTCTATCTATCTATATATCTATCTATCTATCTATCTCTCTATCTCTCTATCTATCTATCTATCTATCTATCTATCTATCTATCTATCTATCTATCTATCTATGGACTTATGGACTTATGGCGTCCACGGAGTTATGGGGAGTCTTTTCGTCGCTGTTCGCAAAGGGCGTACATTCGATTCTGGCTGATGG